AGCAGTGGAGGAGAATCAAGATCCAGAGGAGGGGGCGCCAAAAAACCTGGAGACCCAGCCTTGCCCCTTGCCTCAGCACTCTGGGGGCAAGTGTCAGTGTCTGTGGGTACCTTAGTTTGGCCACCCCTTTCCTGCCACTTGGTAAACAAACTGGGAAGAGAGATGGGGTATCCTCAACCAGGATGGCCCAGTACTCTCCTGGCCCCATACAGGAGCCCACTGTTAGGGCAGGGCTGTGTTTATGTCCCGGGAATGCCTGGTCTGGGAGTTGAAGGCCACCCCAGGTGGGAGGTACTTGCCGGCAGGAGGTCTCGAAGGGTACAGACTCATTGGCTACCAGCTTGGTATGGGAGCAGATGGTCTCTGGGTACACAGGCCCGCTGTCCACATGGGCATGGTAGTGTCCTCCCTCTCCATACCGCACAACCTGCAGGGGCTCGCTGAGCTCCACGATTTCAGGTGACAGGCGGGTGAGGCGTAGCACCCTGGTGGGCAGCAGGCATTCAGCTGGGCAGTCCCATGCAAGGTGGCACTCTGAAGAAGCCAGACCCCAGACCTGCCACAAGCTCTGCCCCTGCCCACCTGCCCTGGAAGCCCCGAGCGCCCCCCCCCACCCCCCCGCAACTGGCCCTGTAGGAGCAGGAAGGGGCTACTCATGAGCCCTTCTCCCTGGATGCCAGAGACCACACTGGGTGGGGAAGGTGAGATTTCCACTAAGTTGGGAGTGGGGATCACTCCCTCCAGGAAGGAGATTGCTTATCTAAAACCCCTGGCTGCTCAGGGGCAGGGGGTCCTGTGGATAGAGATAAGAAGTCATTTCTGTAACTCGCAAAAAACAAACATTCCAATCTATTTCTAATCCCAAATGTATATCGTTTGCCCACAATGAGGATTAATTTGCCTTTGTTAATTGCCTGTCTCTTAATGGGTCCTAATCCTGGTCTAACAAGTAGAACTTAATCTGGAGCTGGCTAATTAAGCCTGTCCTCTTGGCGAGGGCCCCACATGGCTGGCTCCTGCTGAGGGGCTCACCTCTGGCGGATGGCACGCATGATGTGGTGGGCACCTTCACCCTGGTAGAGCCACGTGTGGTGGCTGTTCCGCACCAGCTCGCTGGATGCCGCCTCGTGGCTCCTCATGTACTTGTGGAAGTCCCGAAGGTCCATGTCGGAGAACTCCTGCAGGCTCAGCACTCCTGCGCAGGGCACCCATCATCCGTGCCCCCCAAGCCCATGTGAGGAGGCCTCAGGGGCAGGCTGCAGCATCCTACCTACCCCTGGCCTCAGCCACCGGAGGACCATGTGCACCTGTCCCCCAACCTGGACGCTTAACCAACTCAGTCACTCAGACGCTCCTAAGGGAGAAACCTTCCATGGTTTGGCCTAGATTTCTCTGAGGGTGGGGAACACTCAAGGCCTGTAGGCCTGTAGGCCTGTCACCAGCTCTGTACATAGGGGCAGTAGCAGCATGATGCCCCTCCAGCCACAGGTCTTGGCCAGATCCTTCACTCTGGGTTCACCAGCCACAGGACCATTCTTCCGAGTTCTATTTCACTGTTGTACCTTCCCCATTTCGCCCAGAACTTGGGCATGTGAGTGATGACTATACCTCAATAACGCCCTGGGAATTATTACCAAAGGGGGGGGTACTTGCATGACAGCTCCCCTACCCAAACCCAAACCACCTCCAGCACTCCAGCAGTTAGCATGACTCGAGGTGGGCATGAGGAAGGCAAGCAAGATCTTAGACCAGAGAGGGCGTCTTCTGGGGAAGACCCCGTGCCTGGCTGGAAAGAGGTAGATGAAACAGGGTGAACAGCCAAGCTCAAGCTGGCCTCACCAGCCCTCTGCCAACAAGCAACTCCCCTCCTGGAGCCCAGACTGCCTGTCGAGGTCAAAAGGGCCTCCAAGAACTGCCCTCTAGACTGTCACCAAGGCGAATGGGAGGACCCAGCCTACTGCCCAGGGTGAGGGAAAGGCTGCATCCTCACTTCCTCATCTCTGGCTGCTCTAGAAGCTGGGTATACAGGGGGCAGGAGGCTCACAGGGACAGAACTGTGGCGAGGTATGAGCTCACCATCACCATCAGGGTCAGCCTTGATCGCAGAGTACATCTCCTGAATGTTCTCTGGAGTCATCCACCGTCCATTTCCCAGGCGGGTCTGGGCCAGGACCTGAAGCACAAGATGGTCCCTCAGTAGAGTGGCCCCAATGATGGAGAGCCACCAGAGCATAGACAGCCACCCAGTTCTTGCTGTAAGGGCTAAGGGTTCAGGTGATGGGGTAATGGGTGAGGACACAGGACAGAGCCTGAGGTCCCTGAGCTGAAGGGAGGGTAGGCAGAGAGAGACCCATAGGCATCTGGGGAGGTGGCCAGGAAGACAGCTGAGAGACCTGTGGGCCATAGGCATTCCTGGTCCTGTTGGGACTGTGGCCTTCATGGCCAGCACTGTCAGCTGGTTGGAGGAAGACAGGACTGTGACCCACTCAGATACTCCAGGTTAGATGGGGGAGGCCAAGTCCTGGGTGTGAACAGGGAACAGGCATCAAGGGGAGGCCTGGCCAGGGCATGACCACCAGGCTTGTCAAGAAGACCAGGCTCAGTGGGCCACTCTGTAAAGGCAAGGGACCCTACACCGTGCCAAGACCTCTGTCAGAAGCCTGGTGTGAGAGGCATATAAAAGAGAAATGCAGACTTCTGGCTACCCTCAGACCTACCATGAGTTCTGTGGGGTCCCCAGCCATGGCAGCAAGGAACCCAGACCACAGATGGCACACCACCCAGGAATTGTGATAATAAATGTCATCACCCCCAGGGGGATTCTCCTGCTACCTTCTGGGGTTCCCAAGGCAGCAAGGGGCTCTCCAGGGAAGGATAACGGGGGACCCTGGAACTGGGCATGCCCCAGCTGATCTGAGATGGCACCTAACTCTTGGGGCCAGGGCTGAGCAGGCCACCAGAAAGACAATTCTAGGCACTCCCACCCTGGGCTTACTCCAGGCCCCAGGATCCCAACCTCACGGAGCTGCAGGCGACCATCACGGTTCTGGTCCAGCAGCCGGAAGAGGTCCAGCTGGCTGACCTGCATTGTGCCCATTGCCTCCTCGTATTCTTCAGTGGGCAGAATCTGGCTGCGCTGTAACCCCTTCATCTGGGCCAGGTGGATGATGAGCCGACACTCCTCATCACTCAGGAAGCCAGGGATTTCTGCCAGAAGAGGAGGTGGGTGAGGCCAAGGACTGAGCTAGGGCACCGATTCAACCAGTGCCTTCTTCTCTGCAGAGCTCCTGGGGTACTCCTGTCCCCTGGTGGTCCCCAGGTCGGGACTTCACACACCCCTCTGCCTCTACACTGGACTCTGACCCCAGGATTGAGTTCTCCTGCATAGGTTGGCTAGCATTTGGAATGTGGGGCTTTTTTTCTTTGATGCCAAGAGCACACATTTCCCAGGGGAGCCCTGGGACGCTTGCTAGAGCTAAGCTGAGCAGGGGCTCAGCCACCTTGGGGTGGGACTGAAGGCCAGAGGGTTGACCTCCACTTCTGATTGGGTACATATTTTAAAGTGGGGTGATGGCGACTGGGTTTTGCTTTCATTTTTGCTTTTCAGGATTGTTCAAATACAAAGTGTAGAACATTCAGTGCTGTAGGCCAGTCCTTGCCCTCCAGTCTCCTGCACAAGTGGGCGCTGACCCATCTGCCCAAGACTGAGTGGCCCAGTGCTGGCACGTCCGTCAGTGGAGGTCTCTTAGGTTTTTGGCAGATGCTGAGAAGATGCCCCAGGTGTCCTTTGCTTTGGGAACAAGTGTACACTGAACGTCATGCCTCTAAGTCCGAGTAAAGGCCAGGCAGGCTTAGGGCTTGGCTCCAGTGGCTGGATGCCCCCACACCAGCTCCACAAGCAGCTTGGTCAAGCTGGAAAGTGAGTCTCACACCTGGGGAGCTCACATCCCAATGGCCCCAGGCACTCATAGACAGGAGCGGGGGCCCTGCTTCCTTCCCTCCTTCCTGGGAGAGAGGACTTCGTTAGATGGGGACCAAGAGGCCCACAGAGGAACTGACTGGAGGCAGGGCCCCACTGCGACAGTGACCCCTCAGAACTGCAGAGCTGTCTACCACCTCTCTGGGTTATACTCCCAGCGTTAAGGTCCAGGCATTGCCAAGAGGAAGGAAAATGGCTGCTCAGAGCCAGGGCTGGAAAGGTTTCTAGTGGTTATCACAGCAGATCACACTAAGGTGGCACAGATTCTGTGTCCTGTCCTCATCGGCTCCTTAATCCCTACACTCACCCTAGAAAGCCGGGCCCTCTCAATTTGCCTTTCTTATCCATGACGCATGGCAGGCACAGAGACGTGAGCGACTTGCCCAGGGCCTCCGGGGCTGTTGTATTCCAGAGTCCATGCTCAAGACCACATTCAGCTTCCCTGGATAGATGACCCAGATGTGATGACACTGAGGGTAGGATAAAGGCCCCCACCCAGGCCTGCTTGACCCCCAACCCAGCAAACCCAGAAAGGGTGTGAGCCATCCACTGTGGGGGGAGGGGGGGTGCAGCTCTGGACAATGGGTTAGACCAAACTGCTAATCAACAGTCACCTCCTGGTAGCTTAAAAAAAACAAACAAACAAGAAAAGTAAACCAGAAAAAGAAAAAACACAGGCCCAGGTTTCTTCAGTTTATTAAGTGCTGGTAATCCGCAGGCCCAAAGATGCCGCCAACCTCTACAGGCCCCTGCAGTGTGCTAATCAAATGCAAATGGCCCAGGCTAGCACACTGGGGCCTAACCAGATGGGTCCCCGCGCCTGGGACCTGCACAAACACTGGCTCCTGGGGTGTGGGTACAGACCTATATAGGCCTCAGCCTCAGCCCATTAAGACCAAGGCAGACAAAGCAGGTGATGGACCAGGGGCTGTGGCTGTTAGCGGTGCTGGTGGTGCTGCTGGGGGGCAGTGGGGCAGGGCCCCCCCGGGGCCCCACACGGTGCATGCCCATTCCCCAAGCCATGGCCCTGTGCCACGACATTGGCTACACAGAGATGCGGCTGCCCAACTTGCTGGATCATGATACAGCGGCCGAGGCTCTCCAGCAGTCAGTCAGCTGGCTGCCCCTGCTGGCCAGGGAGTGCCACCCTGATGCCCGCCTCTTCCTCTGCTCCCTCTTTGCCCCTGTGTGCCTCGACAGGTAGGGCAGGGGCTCCTAGGTGAGGAGGGGAGGGGGTGGCCTTTCCTCTGCCAAGGCCTGTTCACTAACCATTGCCGTGTGTGTACCTCTCGGTGCTGAGGGCCGACAGAGGTGGGGAGGGAAATGAAGGATTGTCCTGTCAGGGTGTTCCTGGCCCAGGGGAGCAGGTGCCCATGGGACAGAGGAGACATAAGCAGGGGACCATCAATGGTGAGCATTGTTGGCATCAAGGGCTCTTGAATGTCAAGGTATGGCAAATGGGTAGGCTGCTTTGGGCTGGGGGGCTGGAAGCCCCTCTCCAGTGAGGTGTGGAAATGTCTGCCCAAGGGATCCTGGCGAGAGATGGAGCTCATCCGAGGGCCTTTTCTCTGAGCCCAGAGATTGCAAGGCTGATTCCTCTTCTCCAGCCTAACCTACCCCGGGAACAACAGCTCCTTCAGTTCCTCCTTTGCAGAGTGAGGGACTGTCCCAGAGCCTCAGGGTGACCATGCCAGTGGCACCAAGAATGGGCTCTTTCAGAATCCAATGATCGGGCCTCTGCTCTTTGCCAACCCCAGCCCTGGCCAGAAACTGCAGTCTCCCACAGGCCTTTCAGGACAAGAGGGAGGGCTCTGCTTTCTCCCTCCAAGATGGGGAGTGAAGGCCCAGAGCGCAGGGCGCTTCACATACACCCCTCTCCAGGGCACTGGACGTTCGCCCAAGCTGGAGGGGGAGGTGCGCTGGGAAGCCGGAAAGCAGCCCGGGCCACGCGAGGACGGTGGGGGCTGTAAGACCGAAGCGCTGGGCTGGAGGCAAGCCGGGCTGAGAGCTGTTGCTAGGTGACCAGGTGTCGTTGCCCAGCAACCGCGGAGTCCCAGGCTGCGCCTCTGTACTGGGAGCTGCGGGGGGCGCAGGGTGGGGGGAGGAGCGGGAAGGAGGGAGGGGAGCCCAACCCGGAGTCCAGGAAGCCCGGTCCTGAGAGCCCTGTCGCCCCGATCCTTCCATCCTCCCCGCCCCCCACCTCCGCAGGGTCATCTACCCGTGCCGCAGCCTGTGTGAGGCCGTGCAGGCCAGCTGTGCGCCCATCATGGCCTGCTACGGCTACCCCTGGCCGGCCATCCTGCACTGCGGCCGCTTCCCCGCCGGCCACGGGCTCTGCGTCGCGGCTCTCTCCAACGGCTCCCGCCTGGGCCGCCCACGTGAGTCCCCGCAAGGCTCCCAGGCCCGGCCCACCGGCAGCTCCCCACCCTACCAAGCCACTGCCCGCAGGGCCCGGCACACGGGTCTCTCTGGTAGGGGAGACAAGGGAGCGGCCACAGCAGCGGGTCTCAGAAAGGGTGAAGAACCGGGGACCAGCGGGAGGGCCCCCCTCCCCCGCGCTGGCGGCCCCTCCCCCACTGGCTCCCGGCGGAGCCTCACTCGGCCCCTCCCCTCCAGTGCCACAGGCCAGCTGCAGGGACTGTGAGTTGCAGGACGCCCGCTCGTCCAAGGAGGTCCTGGACGCGCTCTGTGCCAGCGACTTTGGTGAGCCCCTAGCGTCCAGCACCCCTTACACCCACCTCACAAGTGCCTCCATCCCAGCTCCCAGCTCGGTGTAAGAAAAATGAAAGAGGGAACACTCAAATGCTATATACCTGGTTAGAGCCACAAAATAAATGCCTTTAATAAGCGTGGCATTGCTAAAACAACACACCTAACAAATCTGCCTAGGAGGGTGGCAGCCAGGACTTCAGCCCTTCTCTAGGACCCCGATTAAGAGCAGGGCATCAAAGAGGGTGTGGTTCAGCAGGTGGAGGGGATGGGGTTACTCCTCGAGGCCCTGCGCATCACCCCACTCCTCTGATCCCATTCAGCAGTGAAGGTTAGGCTCTCCCGATGCAACGGGTCATCCTTTGGTCTCTCAGACTGCCACCTGGACTCCCGGCTAGAGGTGCTGAAGGCGGGCCCACTGCCTGCCGTGGAACTGGCCCCTACTCTGCGTCGCTGGCTGCAGCTGGATGCCACGTGCGTGCACAACCTCTTGCGAGGAAGGCATGCTGGGACCTACGTGCTAAGTGGGGAGGTGCAGGGCCCCCGGCTGCTGGTAACCACGGCCTATGTTTGGAGCCAAGGCCACCGACATCTGCAGCTGGCTGTGCGCAGGTGGCACCATCACCAATGCCCAGAATAGGGGTTAATACAGGCAGGGAGAGCCCGTGCCGCCCTGGACATACATAAAACCCTCTATCTGCTGCCCTTCATGGATATTTGCAGACCAGAATCCAGAGAAACCCCAGGAAGGGCCCAAGCAGGGCAGAAGCCCACTTCTGTGGTCACAGCTAAGGGGCCCCTTCCTGAACTACAGTGCTCTGCCCAGACACGAAGGAGACTGGGTCCCTGGCAGGGGAGTGTGTGCTGGGTAGGCAAGACCACCTTTCTGTCCTTCTGTCCTTCCCAGGCCTGGGATGACAGCCTGGCTAATGCCCACAAGCCCTAGCAGCCCAAGCTGTCTCAGGGCAGGTGCAAAGCCTCAGGCTATGCTCATCCTGGGCGGGGTGCTGCTTGTCAAGCCCCACAGACTCAGTTTTATCTGCCTGACCTTTACTGAGCCCACAGTTCCACCAAGCTGCAGGCCCATGGAAGAGCAAAGGGAGTGGGGAGAAATCCATACAGAAAACTGCATTGAGCTGCTTACAAACCTCATCTTATATACACACACACAGTTTTTTCCCTATTTCTGGGCCTCCAGTGTTTGTCAAGAATACAGTCGTCTTAAATAACTGCCTAATTATTTTCTTGAGCTGACTTGGAAATCCTATGATAAAGCAGTCATGGTTTTAAGATAAATTATTTTGTGTATTGGTGTCAGTTACTCATTGACCTTAAACAGCTACAAAAATGGGCCAAAACTCTTGTTGGCCTTCTGGAAGCGCCCCCTGTGGCTCTTGAAGGGAATGCCAAATCAGGGGGCCAGGGTGGTGGGGGTCACTCTTGAGCAAGCAGACAGGTGCTGGTCTGGCTGAGTGCCCAGTAAATCCCTCCAGCCAGCCAGTAATGACCAGCAGTGGACACGACTCCGGCTGCTGACTACACTGCCAGCACAAATCAGGCCTCTCCCGCATGCAGCTCACCTTTAGGGGCAGAGGTACAGATGACAAATAGAGAAGATAGTCTCCAGTGATGCTAAGTGCCGAGAAGAAAACCAAGCAGGCTGATGCAAGGGTGTCTGGGAACCTCTTAAGACCAGTTTGAGGTCAAGAGAGGTCTCTGAGGAGGGGATGTGTGCGCAGAGGCCCAATGGAGAGGAAGGCACCCTCTGTGGGAAGAGCCAGGTCTGAGCTTTCTGGTGGAGGGCACAGCACGTACAAAGGCCCCAAGGCAGCATGAGCTTGGGGACAGCAGGGAGTGAGGAAGGGGCAGCAGGAGATGAGGGCACCACCAAATGACACTGAGAGGTGAAGTGGGGATCTTGGAGACTTTTAAGGAAGGGGGTGGTAAGATTGATCTGTTTAGACACAGAATGGGGGTAGGGTGGGATGGAAGGAGAGGGGAGCCGTGAAAGGCAGCAATGTCCCCAGAGAAATGATAATGACTCAAAACTGGAACACCTCCCTTCTGAACTGAACAGGACAAAGTCCTCAGCTGACTTCTGATGGTCCAAATCCTTGTGAAATGCCTACCACAGTCAAGTAGGTATTATGCCAAGAACTCAGAGTGGGACCTTGGTGGCCTAGGTCCCACTTGCCCCAGGTCTCTAGGGACAAAGGTGGGAAACAGGAAAATGTTTCCCAAAGAGAGAGACTGGAGGTTGCACGAGGTCTTCCCCAGGAAGTGGTGGGGCTCCCTCCCCTGGAGATGGGGGCACTCTGGGGTAGAACCCAATCCCCTTGCCCCAGCTTACATCCTGAACACCCACCCCTCAAGCCCTGGCATCTTGGGTCCCTGAGGCTGGGAGGGTCACAGGTTTGGAGCCAAGAGCAGCAAGGCAGAGGTGGTAGAGCCCACAGCAGGCCCATTCTCCTTGGGCCCTCCTGCCTTTTTGGGGTGACAGTAGATGAATAAACGGGCAGGTACAGAAGACAGACACTGCTTCTTCTTGAGGTAAGGCTTCCTTCTTTGGATCCATCCAACACCATAGCATTCAGTAACTGCCCCCCCTCTGACATCCTCTCCCCTGTGCTTTCCCTGCCTCACAAGGGGACTTCCTATAATCACTGATCTCTTCTTCATATGGCTCACCTCGTTTCACCAAGGAGCAAGCCCTAGGACTTCCTGGGTAAAACCTGGGACACCGTCCACCAGCAGACTCAAAGTCAATGTAAGAGTTGGGAGAAAATGGGGGCCACAGCTGGAGGTTCTTGCTGCAGCTGGAGCCGTCCAATTCTCCCAGCCATGCCCTTCGTAATTTGCGGATACACAGACCCATCTGATGGCTTAACCAGAACCAGTTTACCTTGCATCAGATTTCTCCTGCTTCCTACATTTATGGGGTTTGGGTTTCTCATTCTCTGCATTGTAGGACTTTGATGCAACAGCTGCATGTTAGGGGGTGAGGGGTACAGTTATGGGTTCATTTAACCTGACATACATCTGAATTAAGTGCATACAGGTCCCAAGAAGGCTGAGAACACAACCCCTTCAGACATGTCTGTTCATGTCAGTGTGGCAGCAGAGGGGTGAGTGTTGTTCCCTTTGCCTGGATCACCCTTTCTTGACAGCCACCTGGCTTGATCCCATAGCTCCGAGGTCTTTGCTCAAATATCTTTCACAGGGAGGCCTATCTTGGTCACCCTATTAAGAGTTTCAACCCCAGTTGAAATTCTGCCTTATCTGTCTGCAATCATTTATCACCATCTGACATGCCATATGTATTTGTTTATTGTCTGTCTCCTTATTTGAATGTCAGCTTTAGGTGTGTCTGTATTATTGTTTTTTGGTTTGTTTGTTTTTTCCTATTTTGTTCAGTGCTATGTTCCCAGCACTTAAAATAGCGCTTGGCACAGACTCCAACCTTATGCAGTAGTAATAATAATAGTAACAATAGCCTTTTAGGGTCCCTCCCACAACAGGATCGACATAACTTATTTCCCCTTAGACTGTATGCATATGAAATTGTTCTCATAGGTCTAGGCATAATTCTCAACCAGGGTCCTCTGCCCCAGGGGTAATGGCATGTGCTCAAATGCTCTGCTTTGGTCCCTAGCCCCCTCCTTAAAGCCCCTAACCCACATCATCCCCCAGCAGGCAGGAACAGCCCCAGGTCTGCAGGTAAGTGTATCACTGGGACTGGGTACCCAGGGCTGGGTGGGAAAACCTATCCTGGGCAAGGTCATGAGTCTGGCCACCTTGCTGGCACTGGTGGTCTTTGAAGGACTTCAAGAGTCTTCTCAGCTAGCATGTTGGCTATAGAGTACATGCTCTAGAGGCAGGCTGCCTGGTTTCTAATCCTAGCTTCGCCCCTGAACTAGCTGTATGAGTCTGGCCAACCAACCCCAGCTCCCGGCGTCTCACTTTCCCACCCAGTAACCTGAGGGTGGGATCCACACCCACCTCACAGAGGGGTTGTAAGAATTAATTGAAACTATCACATGAAGCCTAGCACATAACCAGAGCTCAGAAAATGTGAGCTTATGATGCTGATTCCAAATGAGGTCACACTGGAAGGTTTTGCCTACTTATGGCAGAACACAACTCCATCCTAAGAGCCCTCATCAGACCACAGGGTCCACGTTGGGAGTGAGATTCCTCCTCGGAGGCCCTGAGATCAGCTAGGACCTGGTTATCAGTCTTTCCCACCCTCCCCCAATTCTAGAATGTGACAGAATTAATGATGGCAGGAAGTGTCCAAAGATGGTTTCAGTGAAGTGTTTAGACAATCGCCTCAGGGTCACATTGCCCAGCCCTGTAATGGAAGGATCAGCTGCAGAGTAGGGGTCAGAGAGGGGAGTGTGGAAAGGTCACCCGGTGACCCTATTATAGAGGTGGGGGTTGGTACTTCACTGTGGGAAACCTTTGGGTGATAAGAGCTACTTTGAAGCAGCCATTTTCAAAACAGAAGTCACGTGCCCAAAACGAGCCTCCAGGCGCCCCCCAAACCGCAGCCCCTGGCCCTTCCCAAGAGCGTCCAGCTGACTTACCAAAGAGCAGCGGCTTGAGGCTGAGGGTTCGGATGAAGTGATCCCTGTCGGCGACCAGCTGGACCTTCCGCTCGTGCCCCACCTAAGGGAAAGGGGCACTGCGGGCAGCTCGGGCCCCAGGCCGCGCCACCCAAGGAGGGTACAGGCACCCGGGCCCCGAGCGCGACGAGCGGGAGGGGCGCGCGGGGCAGACGACGCAGGGAGCAGCGTGGAGGTCGTGGGCTGCGCGGCGGCCGTCACGGGTTCGCCGTGCAGGGCCTGGAGCGCGGCGAGACGGGAGTCCTCACCTTGATGCCCTCGAGCCGGGTGAGGGGACCCAGGGTCGGCGCGGGCCCGGGGCCCTGGGCGCGGCGCTGGGGCCCGGGGTCGCTGCTCTCGTCGCCGTTGCTGTAGTGCACGAAGAGCAGCAGCGCCAGCACGTTGCCCAGGTACAGGTGCACGAACACCATCAGCACCAGGAAGTAGGCGCGCGAGCAGATGCCACGGGGCTTGCACAGCGGCCGGACCGGTGCGTCCTCGCAGTCGCCCAGCCCGGCCGCAGCGCGGGCCCGCTCGTGTCCAGGCGGCGCCCACTGCGGACTCGCGGCCTCCGGCCTCGGGGCCGCCGCC